GATTTTGGAATGTTGTGTTTTCATTGTCATTTGTTTCCAGGATGCTTTTTATTTCTTCTTTGATCTCTCTGGTAACCCAGTCATTGTTTAATAGCATGCTATTTAGCCTCCAAGTGTTTGATTTTTTTTCAATGTTTTTATTGTAGTTGATTTCTAGTTTTATGCCATTGTGATCTGAGAAGATGCTTGTTATGATTTCTAGTCTCTTGAATTTGAAGAGACTTTGCCTGTGTCCTAATATATGGTCTATCTTTGGAAATTTCCCATGTGCACTGGAGAAGAATGTATATTCTGTAGCTTTGGGGTGAAATATTCTGAAGATGTCTATTAAGTCCATCTGATCTAGTGAGTCATTTAGGATTGCTATTTCTTTGCTGATTTTTTGTTTAGAGGATTTATCCAGTGGTGTCGGTTGGGTATTAAGACAGAGCCATCTTATATTTTGGCGGGAAATTCACCCGCACTCCAAGTGTTAAAGTCCCCTACTATGACTGTATTGCTATCGATCTCTCCCTTGATATCTTCCAGAAGTTGTTTTATGTATTTGGGTGCTCCTGTATTGGGTGCATATATGTTTACCAGAGTTCTATCTTCTTGTTGAAATGCTATCTTTAGTATTATGTAGTGGCCTTCCTTATCTCTTGTTATGGCCTTTACTTTGAGGTCTATTTTGTCAGATATAAGTATCACAACCCCAGCTTTTTTCTCATTTCCATTTGCCTGAAAAAAATTTTTCCATCCCTTCACTCTCAGTCTATGTAAATCCTTTGTTCTGAGGTGGGTCTCTTGCAGACAGCAAATATATGGGTTATGTTTTTTTATCCATTCAGCTACCCTGTGTCTTTTGATTGGAGCATTTAATCCATTTACATTTAATGTTATTATTGAAAAGTACTTGTTTGTGGTCATTTTTATTCTTAATGTTTGTGTTTCTTCTTGTCTTTCTGTTTCTTCTTTTTACAGCAATCCCTTTAGCATTTCTTGCATTGCTAGCTTGGTGGTAATAAACTCTCTTAGCCCTTTTTTGTCTGTGAAGTTCCTGATTCCACCTTCAATTTTGAATGATAGCCTTGCTGGGTATAGTATTCTTGGATTCATTCCCTTGCTTTGCATCACTTTGTATATTTCATTCCATTCCCTTCTTGCCTGGTGTGTTTCTGTTGAGAAGTCAGCTGATATTCTAATAGGAGATCCTTTGTAGGTAACTTTCTGTCTCTCTCTGGCAGCCTTTAAGATTCTTACTTTGTTGTTGGTGTTTGCCAATTTAATTATGATGTGTCTTGGTATTGGTCTTTTGGGGTTCATCTTGTTTGGTACTCTATGTGCTTCTTGGACTTGTGTAGTTATTTTCTTGCCAGTATCAGGGAAGTTTTCTGTCATTATTTCTTCAAACAGGTTTTCTATTCCTTGCTTCTCCTCCTTTCCTTCTGGTACTCCTATTACGCGAATGTTGTTTCGTTTTGCATTGTCCCAAAGCTCCCTTAGGCTCTCCTCTTGCTTTTTAAGTTTTTTTTCCAGTTGCTCCTGTGTTTGTGTGTTTTTTCCTACCTTGTCTTCTAATTCGCTGATGCAGTCCTCAGCCTCTTCTAGTCTGCTGTTTAAGCCTTCCATTGTGTTCTTTATTGCAGCTTTGTCGTTCTTCATTTCCTCTTGGTTCCTTTTCATGTTGGTGACATTCTCATTCAGCTCCTTATAATTCTCATTGAGTTGTGTGTATTTGTCATCCAGCCGTTTGAGCATCCTTATAACTATTACTCTGAATTCTTTCTCTGGTAAGTTAGTAGCCTCAATTTCATTTAACTCCCTTTCTGGTGATTTCTCTTTTTCTTTCCTTTGTGGGTTGCTTTTTTGTCTTCCCATGTTTTGCTGTAATGTTTTAATTGTAGCTCTGATTGCTTTGCTACCCAGTTTCTTTTGGGTATGGTGCTACTGGTGTGACCTCTCAGGTCTCCTGGGGTTGGTAGTCTAGTGTAGCTCCCTACTTGAGCTATTTGGGTTCTCTTGATGTAGGCCTGCGAGCTGGAAAGGCGCAACTGAGGTGTCTAGAAGTTAGCAGCCATGGAGGGGGTGTCTCAATTTTTGCTGTTTTGTGTCCTTGGTTGAAATCACGCATGCCCAGTGGGGACTCACAATGGCACCCAGGAACAGTCTGTTGGGGTGGTGGGGCTCCAGAGGCCTGCGTTCTGGAAAGGCGTGACTGTGGTGTCCAGAGTTCTGTAGTTGTGGGTTGGACAGACTCAGCTTTTGCTGCTGCCTCCATGGTTGGATACACGCAATCCCAGCGGCAGTTCACAAGGGCACCTATAATGTGTTTGCCAGCAGGGTGTACTGACACACTCTGAAGGACCCTGGCACTGAAGCCACTGGATTGTAGTGTCTGTGAGCAGGTATCCCAGAAGAGGGAATTCAGCGTTTCTACAGCCCAGCAGTGCCTCCCTGTTTGTTTAAGTGCGTGTCCAGCGGGGCTCACAGCAGCGCCCCAGGGCTGTCTGTGGAGCGGTGGTCTTGGGAGACCTGCACGCTGGAAAAGCATGCAATTGTAGTCTCCAGAGTTCTGCAGCTGTGGGGTGGGGAACCTGTTTTTGCTGATGCACCTGTGGTGGATAGGCGTGCGTTCCCAGTGGTGGCACACAGGAGCACCTGCAGTGAGTTTGCTAGCGCAGGCGCACTGAAGCACTCTGAAGGGCCCTGGAATGCTTAATTGAGGTGTCTTTGGGCAGGTATCCAGGATGGGTGAATTCAGAATTTCTACTGCCCAGGGGAGTGTGTCCCTATTAGTCCAAGATCGGACCCAGCAGAGGCTCACTGCGGCTTCCCAAAGTGCCCTGTGGATAGATGGGTTCAGGGGGAGTGAGCAACTGTGACAGTGCAGTTCGCCGGCCCTGAGCTCTGACGCACTCTGAGGGGCCCTGGCGCTGAAGGGCCCTGGCACTGAAATTGCACTGCTGGGTGTATGTGGACAGTTATTCAGGCAGAAGGAATTCAAAATTTCTACTGGGGGGCAGTGCGCCTGTGTCTGTACAAAATCACACCCAGTTGGGGCTCACAGTGACTCCTAAGAGAAGTCTATGGAGTGGTGTGCCTCCGAGACCTAAGCGCTGGAGAGGCATGAATGCGGAGGTCTGCCGCTGGGGAGGGGGAGGCTGCACTTACTGCTGCGGGCGCGGTGCACCTTTGGAGGTGGAGATCCCAGGGTCTGCGAGTCTGCTGGTGGGCAGCAGGATTTTGGCTGGAGTGGCTGCCGGGTCGCGGGCAGTATCCAAGGCCTGTCTGGGTGGTGGTGCTGATGAGTTCCTAGAAGAGGCCACTCTCCCCTTTAAGATGGCGTGGGCTCCGTCAGAAGCAGATTCTTACACCATCACAGGGATATGAGCCAACTCACAAAGGGAGACCCTGAGCACTGTGGTACTGGGACAGTCAAGAGTCCTTTATAGACAGTGGCCAGGTGGCTCAGTTGGTTGGAGCATCATCCCATATGCCAAAAAGGTTATGGGATCTATCCCAGGTCAGGGCACATACGGGAGGCAACCAATCCATGATTCTCTCTCACACTGATGCCCCCCCAACTTCCCCTCTCTCTAAAAATCAATTTAAAAAAGCATATCCTTGGGTGAGGATTAAAAAAAGTGCTTTATAAAATTGTGGGGTCCAAATGATGTCATCAAGGTATCAAGGACAGTTGGCAAGATACCAGAAGGATGGATCACAACTTGGAAAAATTATTCACCTGCTCTGCCTCACCCCTGTCTCCCTGTCCCCTTCCCCCGTGCCAGCTCTGGGGAAAGCTGGGGCACAAGGAAACATGCTCCAGGGACAGTCAGCATCTTGGCTGGGCCTGACACCCGAGGGAAAGTGGGACACAGAGAGGGGGGTGTCTACCTGATAATGAAAAAACCCTAAATGAAAAGAAATAATATATTCCATGTTCCCCACTTCTGAAGTTTCACTGGATGTCCCCAAATTCACCTCTGTAGTTGTGGGGGCTCAGGCAAGCCCCAAGTGCTTCTCTATGCTTCAATGTGTATGTCGCACCTACACAGCAGGAGTGTGCTTATAAGGACTAAATGAGGAAATTACAGGTGAGATGTCTGGCACAATGCCTCCCACATAGAAGAACCAGACAGACCACAGCCACTCTCGGAATACAGTGCAGGATTGGAAAGTGGAGGCCCACACGGGTCATGGGTGGGGTTCTCATCCTTCTCGTTAAAACACATTCATTCCCCCATCCTCCCGCCAACTGTCAGATGTCATCTTTTCCTACCTTCTCTCCTTTGGACAAAAATGTCCCTAATGTTCATTTATACTAATATGTAAAGGACAAATAAAAGCTAATTTAGGTATAATGATTCTCTTCAATAGGCAGGTATTAGGTATCTACTGTGGCAGGCCAAGGGACAAAGATGCAAAAAAAACAGATGCTCCTGCCCCCAAGGAGCTGCCAGTCGAGTAGGGCAGATAGAAAAATGAACAGATAATGACCGCTCCACGAGAGGACAGCCATAAATGGGGCAGGCACCAGGTACACCTGGAGGCAGAGAGGGCACCAGATGCCACATAATCCAGGTAAGCCCCTGATGCACAGCTTGTAGGTAGCCTGCCACCCACCCACCCACCCCCAGAACTGACTGGAAGAGCACAGCTCACTTCCCTGCCCCCAACACCACTGTGCAAGTAGCAGCCTCTGTGCCACCTTGCACTGAGAAGGGCTGACCTTGATCAGATTTGTCAACCTCATCATAGCTCCTGGCAGATGGCCAGAGGTGACATTCCACAAGAAACATTTGCCAGGCCCCTGGCTGAGGAGTGAGCACAGGCGCTGAGGTGCGGAGCTGCAGGCTCTGCTGCAGAGATGGGCAGCAAGGTGGAGGAGGCAGCGCTCAGTGGCTGCTCATGTTCACAGCTCCCACTGGGGTGTCCCTGACTTCACACCTTCCCCTGATGCAGAAGAAAAGCCACAGAGGAAACAGGCCAGCTCGGCCATGGCAAGGACCTCTCACCTGTCATACACGACTCCACTAATTGGAGGCAGCCAGTGGATGGTGAGGGATGTGTTGGTCTGCCCGATGACCATGGGTGGGATGGGAATGGGGGTGGGCTTTCGGCTTTGACTCCATTGTTGATACACAAGGTCCAAATAGCAATGCATTCGGGCCACTTGGTTAGGGGTGAAGCTGTCAGTGCAGTCATCATCTGTGGGGACAAAAAAAGGAACAGGGGAGATGGAGGTGTTAGCCTGCAAAGTCCACCTTGGCGGGACAAGTTCTGCCTCGTTCACACCTGTGTCACCAGCCCCTAACACAACACCCCATACTTCTTAGGCTCCATAAACACCTGTTAAATGGATAAACGTATTCTGTTCCAGAAAGTGTCTATGCTGGAAATGGGAAAGAGAAGACAGAGAATAGCACTTGCTGTATCTAAACCTGGCCATTACCTTGATATTGGGCTGGGCCAGGTGGGCCCAGGGGTCCAGGGCTGCTCTAAGCTGATGGATGCCTATTCGGGGATCCACAAGATGGCAGTGTTTTCAGCATATGGCCTTTTTATTCAGGAACATTTGTGGAGTTGCAGTCACCTCCATTCCCAGTGACTTTGGCCAGAGTTAGTGAGTATTCAGTGGAGATATTCAAGGGGAGACAGAGCCTAATGTCAAGGAGGCAGCAGGACTGGAACTGTAGTCCCCACCTCACTTTCAGAGCTGGCAAAATCTCCCATGTGTGTGTTGTTGTTTTTTCCAGCAATAGAAAGGGAGTTATCTTAGTTTCAGGGCCTTTTTAAATAAGAGCACACAAGTCAAACACTCACCCCTGCTGCTTCTTTTAACAAAAAATATTTTTATTGCTTTTTGGAGAGAAAGGTGGAGGGAGAGAGAGAAACAATGTGAGAGCACAACATCGATCAGCTGTCTCCTGCACACCCCCACCTGGGGATCAAGCCAACAAGCAGGGCATGTGCCCTGACTGGGAATCAAATAAGCAACCCTTTGGTGTACAGGATGATGCCCAACCAACCTAGCCACACTGGCCAGGGCTGCACCCTGCTTCTTAGATGTTTCCTCTGCCCACTTGAAAAGCGGGACTTAAACAGCTCTGCCCTCTGCAGCCCACTGTCCGGTTGCTCTGCCCTGGTAAGGACCACTGTGACATTGTTGGGGGAAGAAGGGAGGCTGGTTCTTATGAATGTGATGCACCAGAATTATACACTGAAATGAGACTTGGATAAAAGTTTATTGATCGGCAACAGACAGGACCAGCTCACCACCCCTTCTTCCCTCCAAAGGCATAGCAGGGTTCTATGGTTGATTTATTTTTATTTTTTGGATAGTTCTAGAATTTATCACCAAACAAGTCCATGGAACTTACAGAAAAATTACCTCCTTCCTTCAATATTGGAATAGGTCATTAAATCAAACCTGTCCTTAATTTTAGTAATAAATGATAAATTTGAGTCCACTATCAAGAGTAATACTATGACTAGTATTACTTTTGGCCAGAAATGAGGAAGGTGTCAAGGGACAAGGAAGAAGCATAATCCAGGATAATAAGACCAGACATTACATTTTGTTCCCAAGGCCAGGAAAGTATCATTTTTTAAATGAAATGGCACAATTTGGGGGAGGGAGGTAATCAGTACTTGGCTAGTGTTGGAAGAAAAGAATCTGATACTTTAAAATAACATAAAATGAAAAGATATCCTGAGCTTAAAATTAATGAAGGCCATTTTCTTGACCAACTTCAAAAATAGTACAAAGAACCACCTTAACCCAGAAACCTCCTCCCCATCACTATTAGATTCTTTCAAAGTAAATGCCTAAGAACATGGATAAGAACAGGAATATTCAGGTTGCAGAAATCAAAGGCAGCTCAAGAAAGCTTGTGGTTTGGCCCCTTTTTCCAAATGTCCCATGTAGAAGTGTGTTTTTCTTTTCATCTCCAGTGACAGAAAATCTAGTCAATGAGATCCCTACATATCTCAAAATTTCTGTAAGTTCTTCAAAGACATGAAGAAAAGAGTATCCCATGATAAATATACTTCAATGCTCGGGCATAAATGACTGCCTGAAAATCCTCTCCACCTCCTGCATGTCCACCCTCCCAGCCCCCATACTCCCCACATCATCTTCATTAAAAGCAAGCACATTGAGACTGTGATACCTGTGTAGCTCATATAGTTGCTGAACGGAGCCCCCAGAAAGTGGGTAAAGCCGCAGGTGTCGTTGGTAGGCTCCGGGTCCTGGCACAGCTTACTCTTGGGAGTGGGCGCAGTGTCGGCACAGAGGTCTCCTGTGTCCATGGAGGGCACTGTCTCCCTGCAGGGGTCATCGCAGGATTCTCTTTCACTGACCCCTTTGAAGACATGGTAGAGTCCCAGGACATGTCCCACCTCATGGACCATGATGTTGGTATGACCAGGCATCCCGTAATAGGCCGGGTTGAGGACAACGCCACCTGTAGTAGAAGGTTTGGAAAATATCTCTGAGCATGTAAGGAATGGCAGCCCTCTAATCTTTAGTTATGTCTTCTCATAAATTAGCAAGTGTTCAATGTCAGCCTCTAAGGCAGGGGTGGGGAACCTTTTCCTGCCAAGGGCCATTCAGATATTTATAACATCATTTGCGGGCCATACAAAATTATCAACTTAAAAATTAGCCTGCGTAACACTCTTAATGCACAATCCCCAAACAGGAGAATATAGATTTAACAAGACAGCGCTTAAATTCTAATGAAAAAACATAAGTCTTTTAACACACTTACTGATAATATTTTTTATTCCAGAGAGATGGGTCTTCTTCCCCAAATCATCTGCATGCAATACATAGTAATGAGCTTGGCTACCATATGTGTGTTAGATAGAATGTTGCATATGCTAATTTAGGAGGCAGTGCTGTGTGCAACAATACACATTAAGGAAAATCCCGAGGTCCTGTGCCTCTTACAGTAATTCTGCCCATGAGTCTGATTTTAGGTAGCCACAATGGACTGGAACTTAAGGAAATGGAATGCAATCCCGTTAACTCGCTATAGGACCATGGCTCTGCCCTTGGACCTTCTCTTGTCTCTCCATCTACAGAATGAGGGGCTAGCAGGGCTCATCCCTAGGCTCCCTTCCTGTTCTCACCCAGGGCCATTAAGAGCTAACATGCAGGACTGCATGTGACCATCATAAATACCATGTGAAGAAATGTGTGCTACCATGAACTGTCACCACCTCGGCCTTGTAATTTGTGTTCCAAGACTCCCATGTCCCTGGAGCTGGTGGTGAAGGGAAAGAGCTGGGAAGGAGCAGTGCAGACATTCTGCTCTCAGATCTGCCCTGGGTTTTCCCAGGAGCCAGATTCACTGCCTAGTAATCCTCATGGCCTTCTCGCTACCACGTTGTCCCCTCCTTCCTCTCTCCTATGGGATCAGGCCGAAACTGGCTCTCTGACATCCCGAGGGGTCCCAGATTGCAAGAGGGCGCAGGCCAGGCTGAAGGACCCCACCTGTACACGAGATCGGGGCCAGGGAGGGACACAGGAGGTTGGCCAGCCAGGGATGGACCATGGGAGGGCTCCAGGACATGTCCGGCCCTTCTCGCTCAGTCCCAATGGGCCAGAACTCAGCAGCAAGTTAACCTACCAATCAGAGCATCTTCCCCCTGGTGGTCAGTGCATGTCATAGCGAGCAGTTGAGCAGCCTTAGCATATCATTAGCATATTACTCTTCGATTGGTTGAACAGATGACCGGATGAACGGACACTTAGCATATCAGGCTTTTATTATATAGGATTAGAGGAGTGGGTCCTAGTCATACACACACACACACACACACACACACACACACACACACACACACATTTCATGCCAAAGTCTACGTGAAGCATAAAGGCTTGCTGTCCAAAATCTAAAGACAAATGTGAGCACTTCTTTTCATGAGGAAGGAACAAGACATGGTAAATAATAAATAAAAACTGAGTCCGCCAAATGGTCGGACCAGAGAGGATCTGAGGACCTGAGAATCCCACCTTTCAGGGGCCTGTGCACTCCTTTCCCAGGAACTTCATAGGAATAATGAAATGACAGTACAATTGCTACTTTCCAGGACTATTTTATATTAATATTCAAACCAACCAGCATCACCTCTGATGCTGCTATACTTTCTTCCATTTTCATTGCCAGCAACATAGTCAGGCACTGAGGGTTACTGGAGGGTCCTTACGCCACCATTTGGAAGCCTCTCTCGCATGGGATAGTCTTTGGAGAGTGTCCAGGGCTCCTTTGGCTGTGGACATGCGCTGGAAACGTACTGACCCTTACCTTTGGGAATATTCCTTGAAAGCTCTCAAGGCTATTTCCTGATCTGTTCAATGGTAATAACAAGAGTTTCACTCTCAAAAGGTTATTATGAAGATTGAAGGAGTAATGTGGACAAAGAAGTAGTTTGCTTATTTTCTAGGACAAAGTAACTCATGGTGTGTACTGGACCATTTGTCAGTATTACTATAATTATATAATGCAGCTGGCCACACATGCTCATTTGCCCCACCCTTGTTGGCTTCCTCCTGACCACCTTCATTCATCAAGATAGCAGAAGCTAGAGTGTGAACACAAACAGGCAGACCTTCCAGAGTAAAAACAGGCATTGCCAGGCAAAGTAGACAAACATGCTCACACAAGGAGCTCTGATTTGCCTTTAAGCTGCTCAAGCTTGGTTTCCATGCCGTTATGATCCTGAGATCCACAGGCACCCAGAGACAGAAAAGACTTGGATAGAGTTTAAAATGAATCAGTGTGTCCACTCTCTTTATAGATAACATATGGGCATTCAAAAATTATTCACAGGAGCCTGAAATTAGTGATTGCAGGAGGAAAAGAAATATTATAGGATTGGGACTAAGAGCTTAATTCTTCATAGACTTTGCTGGTAGATTAGATGCATACAAGACACTCTTATTCTATAGTGCCAACTATATATTCCTCCCACTTCTCTGGAGCTATATATAGATATATATATATAGATATATATATATCTATATATCTATATATATATATATAGATATATATAGATATATATAGATATATATATCTATATATATCTATATATCTATATATATATATATATATCTATATATCTATATATCTATATATCTATATATAGATATATAGATATATAGATATATATATATATATATGCCTAAGTGACCATTCAACCATTCGGCCAGTAGCTATGACGCACACTGACCACCAGGGGGAAGATGTTCAATGCACAAACATGGAAACATGGAACAGACTGATGTATCTCAGAGGGATGGGGGGTAGGGGGGAGGGCGGGAAGAGATTAACCAAAGATCTTATATGCCTACTAGAGGCCCGGTGCACAGATTCGTGCACCAGTGGGATCCCTCAGCCTAGCCTGCAGGGACTGAGCCAAAACCCACAGTCTGACATCCCCTGAGGGGGGTCCCGGATTGTGAAAGGGCACAGGCCAGGCCGAAGGACCCCACCAGTGCACAAATCCATGCACCAGGCCTCTAGTATTCAATATTTGAATATTCCTATATTCAAAACCACTGTTCATTTTTGTTTCTCCTCATCTTGGAAGATTAAAACATAGATTAGGGATAAAATATGGTGTTAACATGGAGGACAGGATCCCCTCCTTTGTAATGGAATCCCTTCCTTTGTGCTCTCTGCTCCAACCTGCTACATTGAAATAGAAAGTAGAAAGACATGCCAAAATATGGGTTCAACCATACCTTGGCCCCTCAATCTTCACTCTGAGACACTGTCAGACTCTCTCTGCCTTTGTTCACCTCCCCAACACCTGTCCAGCAAGGCTGTCTATGGACAAGACCAAAAGTACCTAAGAAGGGAAAACTAAGAAGCAATAGTATAAATAGAAGAGTAACAATTTGGAAATACTAGTATTTCACCTCAACTGTTCCTTGCTCCCCCTCACCCCCTTACTCTACTGCCAGTTCTGGAAGCCAGATTCTCCTCATTCATCCACTGCCTCACTAAGAAATACAGAACAGAGTGAAATGCAAGGAAAGGAGTTCTTTTCTGGTTGTGATGATTCCAAAGTCTATGCCATTTGGGCCATGAGAGGCCTCCATGGTTTAGCCAGCATGGTGGATGAATGGAGGATATAGTGAGCTTTGTCTCACGTTAGCAATGTCACCACTACATCTCAACCTAGAAAAGATTCTCCTAATCTGGAGGAAAAGAAAAGAAATAAAAGGAAAATAATGGGAATGTATGGATGATGGTGGGTCCAGATTAAGTAGAACCTTCCAAGGCTCTGGTAAAAAGATAAAGATTCAAAATAGTGCATGTGGCCTGACGGTGGGGGATCTTACCTCCTTCTAGTGATGGATTCCTGGGTGCTTGGTCTCAGTCTAGAGAAGAATGGCTGACCAGTGGATCTTATGGGGAAGGGTGACAGAGAGACCCCCAGAGACTCCCTGAAGGTGGGACCCTGATGGGAACAAGGGTTATCTCAGGTGCCAGCCTCTCCTGATGACTGAACATAAAATGGCCTTGGCATCTGTAAGCCATCTACACATTAGATACAGCCCCAGGCAAAACAAACTCAACTACTAGTAAGAGTAAATCTCTACCACTCAAAAACATAGGGATTCAAAATAGAAATTAAGTTCAATTATAGAAGAATAATTAAGAATTTCATTTTTTGCATATCTGAATATATACACTGGGACTTGAACAGTGCCACTGACTGTACATAGAACGTAATATGGATGGGGCTTCCTCAATTTAGCAACTGGTGGCCATGTGTGACACAGCTGTTGCTTAATGGACTGCCAGTGGAGCACGCTTCCTTAGAAGACCTTTCAGCCTTGATTATCAGGGACAAGCTAACCTAGTGAGACAGGGTTGTTGTGTGGTAATGGGAAGAAAAGAGAGGGAAGCTGCTGATTAAAAGATGAAATCTAAGTAGCAGACAGCCAAGCTCCCAAAGTGATGCTGTATTAGCAGCTTCCAACTGGCTTTTCCCAGCTTCATCCCAAGACAGACAGAGCTGCATGTGGTGAAGAAAATGATTCCCAAAGCCACTTCCATTAAACACAAACTCTAACACTCTCTCTCTCTCTCTCTCTCTCTCTCTCCCTCTCTCTCTCTCTCTGGCAGTTTGAGAAAAGAACACAAGTGGAAATGACTTTAAAATAGTTCTGTAAAACTTTTAGGGCTGAATATTATATGCCCATAAAACATGGAGATTGAGGGCTGGTCTGCAGGTGCCTACATAATTACTTCCAGTTACTGGCTAAAAACACTCCTTAAAAAACACTTTTCACCACGAAGGGACAAAGATATCAAAGTGTGGCTGGGGGTCCAAGGAAGAAGCAAAGAACTGTAGAAGTGGACTGATACACATAGGGAGAGAAAGAAATGGAGAAAGTTTTTTAAAAAATCATGGGAGCTAGAAAACGCAGCACATTTTTAACAGA